CCGAGCAGTGGCCAGCGCAGGGAGGGCCCGGCCCCGGGATGTGAGTGAGGCAGGGGTGGGGGCGCGGGGTGGGGCGCCAACCCAAGACCCCGGGGTTCCCAGGGGTCCCCGTGGGCGGGAGCGCGAGTGCGCGGGCTACCCGGCGGGCCGCCAGGTGCGTGCCCAGGTATGGCGGGCGAGGGGGCGCTCGGGTCGGGTGCGCCCAGGCCGGCCTCGCGCCACTTCTCTGCGGTCCGAGGGACCGGTGAGGGTCGCGGGGCTCCGACCCGGGCGGGGCCCAGCGACAGGCGCGGGTCTGACGTCTGCTCTATCCCAGGCTCCACCGGCTGTGCGGAGGCCTCCCGCAGTGGCAACAGCTGGCGCCGGGTTTCTGGTCCCTGTGCGGAGGTGTAATGGGGGGGAGGGGGGTCAGCTGAGCGGCTAGGCTGAGGTGATCTCCATTCCTGGCTGCGGGTTGGGCCTCAGTCTGCGTGAACCCCGACCTGCTGTTTCTGGGAACTGTCATCCCCACCCCCAGCTCTCAGAGATAGGGCGCTCTCTGTGCTCAGCTGTTTCGGTGCATCATCTCGCGACAGCCACATGTTTTACTTAAGGAAACTGAGGCCTAGGGCCACACAGCTTTTTAGGATAATTGTAATAATGTGGAGGGGACGTGCCGAGGCCTGGCAGCCAGATACACCTGGGTGCACAGCCGGTGCTGCACCCACCCGCAGTGTGACCTTGGGCACGCCTGGTTCCCCCTCCGAGCCTCTGTTGGGACCGGTGGCGCCTACCTCCCAGGGCTCCGGTGAGGTTTGGGTTGGACAGTGCAGGGAGAGAGCCAATGCTCAGTGAGGAGCTGCTCTCATGACCGTCGTTGCTGTTGCTAAGAGGCCCTTTTCCTGCGGCTGTGGAGCTGTGTGGTCAAAGTCAGCCGGCAGCAAGGAGGAGGCTGCTTTCCACACTGAGACTGCCCCTGTCTCTGTGTCTGTCCCTGTGCACACGGAAGGCCACACACAACTCAGCTGTACCAGCATGTGCCGGAGACACGCTGGCCCATCGTGTATTCACCACGCTACAACATAACCTTCATGGGCCTGGAGAAACTGCACCCCTTTGATGCGGGAAAATGGGGCAAGGTGATCAGCTTCCTGAAAGGTATGGAAGGCCCTATCAGACCCTACAGCTGCTTCTTCCAACCCACCCCTCTCTCCCGGCCCCTCCCTGTGTCTTCCCTGACACAAGCCGCAGCCTCCCACCTCCACTCTCAGCCCTCAGACTGCCTTCCACTCATGCGGGCAGAGTCTTTTCAGTACAGGCGTCTGAGCATGGTATGTCCCTGCCTCAGACCTTCACTGCTCCCCATCACTGTGGGCTTAAGTCCTGTCCCTGTCCGTGGAGGCCCACCAGGAAGGTGAAGTTTAAAGCAAAATCCAGTGTCTGTTCCCTATAAGCTCCGAGAGTCCAGAACTAGAGAGCCTTTGCTCCAAACCCTGCTGATTGCAGATGGAGGAAATTGGAGCCCAGAAAGGTTAGGAAACATGCCCAAAGTCACACAGCTACCAAGTAGCAGAGGGGGGTCTGGAACCCAGAGCTTCAGGCTCGCACCTGTCACAGCTCATTCCACTGAGCAAGGTGGTGCTCCGGATTGTGCTTTCTACTTCGGTTTGTAATCCAGGGGTCTGGTTTAGGTGCGAAATTCAGGCATCACAGCAGGCTAGTGCGAGAATATTCTCCCTTTTCCCTGCATTAGGGGTTCCTCAGTTAACAGAAGTAGGGAACATTACCTGGCATAGCACGAGGCATTGTGGACCTTTAAATCACACAATCCTGATCATGCCATGGAGACAGTTTCGCTTTGGGGCTAGCCTGTCTTTAACACCTAAGCGCATCTCCCTTTTTAACAAATCTAGAGCGAGCCACACTGTTGCAGAAAATAGAATCAAATTTCAGATTAATAGCAGTTTGTTTGTATCGCATATGTTTTCTATTTTTGGCTTTTCTATTTATGGCAATTGGTTTGGATTTTCCATTTGCAATAGTAACCAGAGTGAGCATTCAAAGAAAACTATTAAGTAGAAGAAGGACAAGTGGTGTGCCAGGATGGTGAGAATACGCGGGGCCAGCCTGTTGGTCATCTTGCTTCCCTGACTGTGGTCCTTCGTGCGCTGTTTCCAGCAGACTCAGCCTGAGTCACTGCCCCCATTGCCCTTTCTTGGGATCCTGCGTTACCCAGTAGCTCAACATAGGATTCCTTGTCTCCCTCATCTCTGAGCTGACAGTCCTCCTGAGTTCCCTGCTTCCTCCTCGGAGGATGTGGGTGGAAAGGAGGCAGGGGCCACATGGCGCCGCCAGGAAAAGAGCTGGCCCTTTGCCTGAAGGCAGTGGGGAGACTTGGAATGTTGTTGGGGGGAGGGGCGATGGAGAAGGCCTTCTGTATGTGGAGCTCTGTGCAGGAAACGTATGGGATCATTTGCTTTCTAAGGGTTACACATTAAAACAGTTTCTTGGGATTCTGACCTTGTCCCTTTGATTCCCTAGAACCCAGAGCATCATGGTCCTATTCTCACTGTGCCCCAGACCACTTCCTGTTTCTTCTTTGGCGAAACAGAGCAAATCTTGTCTGGTGGATGTGAGGGGTGATAAAATACTGCAGTGTTTCCCCAACATCAGTTATTTGCAAACCACTCTGGGGACCTTGCCGTTTCCTCATACCACCTGCTCCGTTATTTACTTCATTTTTTTTTTTTTTATTGACTCAGCCTCTGCTTAAAAAAAAACTTAAGTAAACTTGTTTTAAAAGGAAACATTATATCATCCAAATGGGAAAAGCCAGTTTCACTGGCCATAAATAGAAGGTCGTGGTAAAAAAAAAATAAATGCAGGAAAGCTGTGATTCACTTCAGGGTGCTGCAGTCTGTGAGGTCGCTGCTTTTTGGGTTAAGAAGGGAGATGAGCAAGGGTTAGGCAGGCCTGAAAGACCACACCACCCTGGGCCTCCCGTGACATCACTAGAAGGTGGAGAGGGAGAACTGATAAGGCTTTTTCTCATTTTGAGTCAGCCTTATCGACCCATGTGCCACCTCCTGTGAAAGCTGTCCAGCTCACCTCTCAGCTGTTGGTGGCTTGGGAAACCCAAGGATCGCCTCATGCCCAATGCCTAATGCCCTCTGGCCATTGTCCACACTGGCCTGGGAGGCGACCTGTTTTCAAAAGCCAACCGTTTCCCACCTCCTCTGGGGCAGGGCTAGCAGAGGCTAAGCCTGCAGCCTGTTCCGAGGGGTGGTCTGGAGCCGGGTCGGCCATGAGGCCATCAGGGAAGCAGGGTGCCCACTTTGTGGTTTCAGAAGAGAAACTTCTGTCAGATGGCATGCTGGTGGAGGCACGGGAGGCTTCGGACGAGGATCTGCTGGTGGTGCACACGAGACGCTATCTCAACGAGCTCAAGGTACAGGGTCTGGGGCCTGGGGAGGGCTGCTGACCAGGAGGGGTGGTCAGAGCAGGGGCAGCTCGGTCTGGGGAAGCACAGCCCCAAGGGGCTCCATTCCTGCCCCTCATGCAGGGGGATCATGTGAGTTTGTGGTCCCCAAGAGAAGGAGAGAGGTGTCAAAAAGGCAGATACCAGGGATGGGTTAGGCTGCTCCAGGGGGTAGTGAGCTCCCCATCCCTGGGGGTATGAAAGCAAGGACGACCACTTGGCGGAGTTTGCACCTTCATAGAGCTTCTACATTAGTGCCTTTCAATCTGTGTTCTATGAACAGGCCTTGGAGACCCTTGCTGACATGCTGGGTGAGGGGACGCCAGCCCCTTGTCCTTATCCAACCAAAGCTGTCCCACATAGGTCTATTTTTATATCGGGCTGACGTTTGAGGTTCTTTTCTAAGAGCTTCTGCTGCTAAAGACTTGTTGAAAACTGTTGGGCCAAAAACTAGTGTGAAACTCCCCAGGTCTGAGCAAGGGATATACACAAGTGGCCAGGCAGGTGGTAGTGGTGGTGTATGGGGCAAACTGGGGGGCTCCTGCCCCTTCCCAAGTGGGTGGCTGCCTCTCAGCTGCCCTGGGGGCCCCACGTGGCCAGAAGGCCTGGCTTTCAAAGAAAAGTGAGAAATTCAGATTAAGTGGCAGTCCCTGGTTTCTTAATGCGGCAGCTCAGTTCAACATTTGTAAATCCTACCCGCAGACCAAACTGGGCCTCCAGGCTGCCTGCTTGTGACTTTTTTCCAGAGGAGCTCGTGAAGCTGTCATCAGTGCTGAGGTTCTGAGGCCTCTGCGTGGGGAGCTCGTCTAGAGGGGAAGCGAGGCTGGGGAGGTGCGTCAGAACCTGGTGCTGCCAGCCTGCCCTGGTGGGGGCATGGTCGGGGATGCCACAGGTCCTCTGCCAACAGTGTGGGAGCCCAGAGCCCCGACCCCCACCTTGTCTTAGACTCAGTGCCACAGCACATGCCAGAGGTCACCAGGCCCCTCCCCTCTATAGGTGGAAAAGCCTAGGCCCTGCTCAAGGTCACCCAGGAGGTCCAGCAGCCCTCAGGGAGACCCCAAGCAGGGCATCCAGAAGCCAGTCTGTCTTCCTGGTTCCTGGTCACAGCTGCTACCCGCCCTCCTCCCCCACTCTGGCCGGAGCTGTGAGAATTCTAGATGAAGCCGTGACAGTGTCAGCTCATGAAAGATTACCAGGAAGAGGTTGCAACCTGGCTCCTGGGAGAGAGAGGTGTGCGAGGCCTTGGCAGGAAGCCCAGTCCTTGGCTGCCCTGGTTTCCTGGGGCCTGGACATGCGTGGTCACAGTCCATAGCCCAGGAGCTGGGCCAGGAGGACATGCCTTCCAGAGTCCAGAGGGTGAGGGTGGGGAACAGGGACCGATGGCGACGGGTCCGGGCAGGGAGAGACCAGAACAGAGTGGGACCAGGGTGGATTGAATGTGAATGTGCCAGAATAAGGCTGAGGGGGAGGGGGGGCTAGGCTCCAGGATGCCACCTTCTTGAGGAGCCTTCAGGGGAACTGTGCAGGGCTGACTGTGTCCCTGGCCTTGGGCCCCCAAAAGCCTAAAGGCAGCTTACTATGTGATAGGTAATAAAAAAAAGTATTAACAGGTTGAGACCTGAGTAGGCAATTGAGGTCAAGGGCAGCAGGAGCATTCAGACATGCCAACTGAAAGGATTAACCAAGATGCTATGGTTGAGCTTATATATTTGGCTTGGAGCTCCCTGGCAGCAAGAGCAAAAAGAGAAACAGGCTGATTTCCATCACACCTACTAAGGTGAAGCATTCAGTCATTCAACACATCTATACCAAATACTGACTGTGTACTGGGTACAAAATGAAGAATAAGCAAGTTTCTCTGCTCCCATGGATTTGCATTTTTGTTGTGGAAGACTGGAAATAAAGAAGTAACGACCCGAGAGGATTTCACAGAGTACCAAGGGCTGTGAAGGGAAAAAAAATAGAGGGTAACTTAAGTGGAGGGTGGAGGGTGACTGGGTGGTCGGGGAGGGCTTCACAGAGGTGAGGTTTGAGCTGAGACAAAAGAATGAAGAGCGTGTGGAGCTTTGAAGGAAGAATGTTCCAGAACCACATACCTACAGGGGGAGGGGACTCTGCCTCCTAGAGGGAAGAAGGATGCTCAAGGGAATAAAAAGCTGAGGTGGCACAAGATGTGGTCAGGGAGGCCAGCAGCACCAGGCCACGCTGCGTCTTACAAGCCGTGGGCGGAGTTTGGATTTTGTTCCAGATACCATGGGAGAGCCACATGGTATGATGTGCCCTTGATGCTCAGGCAGGAACCACCATGCCCATTTTGGCACTTAGGGGCTGCAGCTCAGGAGCATTCCCCTTGCCTCTATTCATCCTCATCCCCTTCCCCTCTCCCCCCAGCTCTCTGCAATGTTCCTTTTCTTTTTTTTTCTCTGCTGCGGGCATCTGGAACAGTGCCCTGGAGAGTTCCTGCTGGTTTCCTCAGCTGTTCTGTGTGCACTGTGGGAGGTCACCCTCTCCCCTGTGCTGTCTCACCCATGTTCCAGGGCTCACGCCTGGCCCTGGCCTGGTGTGGCCTTCGATGCTTAGTCATCCAGGCATTGAAGGGGATACAGTACCTGATGTTTGCCAGGTGATGGCCATTCAGGGAAAGAAATGTGTATTGAGCGCCTACGGTGCGAAAGGCCCAGAGTTTGCCCCACTGAAGGTGCTGGTTGGGTTGGGCCAGGGCCAGGCTCCTGCCTTCTGCTAACCCCAGTGACAGTTTGCCTGGGGTGTGGGGTGGCATGACACGGATGTGACATCTCGTCCTTGTGCACCCCGAGCTAGGCAGCGCTCGGGATACCTTTACACGGCAAGTGTTTTGTTTTGTTTTGTTTTTTAATCCGGCAACTGTTTAATGAGCGCCGTGCTCTGTTCCAGGGGAGGTAGGATAGAACAAAAGAGATGGAGTCCCTCTCCTTATGGAGCTGACATCTGGGGGAGTCAGCCAATAGACACGATAATCAAGGCAATGATCTGGTGTGTCGGAAGGCACTCAGTGCCATGGATGAAAGTGTAGCGGGAAAGGGGGAGTAGGGGCTGCAGTTTGAAATAAGGAGGTCAAGGAGGGACTTACTGACATGTGATCATGGACTGAGGGCAGTGAGGGAGTGCATTCCAAGTATAAGGATTAGCAAGTGCAAAAGCCCTGAGGCAGGAGTATCTGCAGTGTGTTCCAGTATTGCCACTGGATCGGAGGGAACGGGAGGGAGACTGGCAAGAGATGGTGTCAGAAAATGACCAGGGGCCAGACCACACAGGGGCCTTTTGTGCCACTGCTGTTTGCTCTGAGGGAGGTGGGAGCCAAGGAGTGTGTTAAGCCGAGGGATGTGGTCTGATCTAGGGTTTAGCAGGATTGCTTGGCCGCTGTGATGAGAAGAGGCTGTCAAGACAAAAGCAGGAAGATCAGTGAGGAAGGAGGTCGTCGCAGTAATCTGGTGAGAGATCCGGGCTCTCAGACGAGGCTGGAAACAGCGGCTGTGGATTTTGGGGGAGTGGTAGGAGTTGGAGTTTGCAAAGAAGAGGAAACAGTAGAATTTTCTGCGGTTCAGACTGGGTATGCGGCATGCGAGAGAGAGAGAAGCCAAGCTCACCTGAGCCTCAGGAAGTCCAGACACCTCTTGGGCCTGGTCACCGACCTCCCAGCACTCGGAGTCCTGTCTGGGAGGGAGACAGACCCTCGCACCAGAACACCAGGGGGCTAAAGGCTTAGAGAGTCTCTGGGGAACTGGGCCCCCTCCTCAGGCCTCTGATTTCTCTCTCTCACTTCTCTCTTCTTCCCCGAGGGGGCTCTTGTCTCCTTTTCTTGTTAACTATAGTAACATTCAGATAGCATAGCCAGTAGCCATCCTAAAGTGTAAACATCGGTGGCATTTGTTACATTGACAATGTGGTGCGACCATTGCTGTTTAGTTCCAAAATATTTTCGTCGCTCCGACGGGAAACTGGTACCCACAAAGCCGCCGCTCCCATTCCCCTTCTCCCGGGCCCCTGGCGACCACCAGCCTGTGTTCTAGCTCTCTGCACTTGCCTTTTCTGGAGGCCTCACATGCGTGGAGTCACACAGCACGTGACCTTTGGCGTGAGGCTTCTATCAGCAAGCACAAGCGTAGCGTTTTCAAGAATGATCCATCCCATGGCGTGAGTCTGCGCTTCATTCCTCATTGCGGCTGAATAATATTCCATTGTGTGGATAGACATTTTGTTTATCCGTTTCTCAGTTGATGGGCATTTGGGCTGCTTCCAGCTTTTAGCCTTTTGTTGCTATGAACACGCATGTACAAGTCCATATCTGAGTCCCTGTACTCAAGTTATTTAGGTTATATGCTAGGGGCGGAATTGCTGGTCACAGGGTAACCAAGGGGCGAGCAAAATGACCCCCACAGCAACTGCACGTTTTACATTCCTAACAACTGTGCACAAAGGTTCCGATATCTCTACATTCTCACCCACGCTTGTTATTTTATGGTTTTTGTTTGTTTGGTTGGTTGGTTGGCTGCGGCGACCTTAGTGGGTATGGAGCGGTATCTCATTGTGGCTGTAACGTGCATTTCCCTGTCGGTCAATAGCACTGAGCATCTTTTCAGCCACTTGGTGGACATTTATATCGCCTCTTTGAGGACGTGTCTGCTCAAGTCACAGGCCCAATTAAAACATTTGGTTATGGAGTCTTAAGAGTTCTTTGTATGTCTGGATGTTATGTGATTTGCCAATAATATTTTCTCCCATTCTATAGGTTGTATTTTCGCTCTCTTGCTGGTGTCCTTGGATGCATAAAAGTTTTGAATGTCACTAAATCTCAACTTATCTTTTTCATCTTTTGTTGCTTGTGTGTTTGGTGTCACATCTAAGAATCCATTGCCAAATCCAAGGTCATGAAGATTGACCCCGATGTTTTCTTCTAAGAGTTTTAGCTTGTATTTAGGTCTTTGGCCCAT